CAGTATCAGGACTGCTATATAACCAGATGTCAAGTACAGTGGCAGAGCTGCAGTATGTTTAACACACTGTCAAGGTTGGTCAGTGTCAGGACTGCTGTATAACCAGATGTCAAGTACAGTGGCAGAGCTGCAGTATGTTTAACACACTGTCAAGGTTGGTCAATGTCAGGACTGCTGTATAACAAGATGTCAAGTACAGTGGCAGAGTTGCAGTATGTTTAACACACTGTCATGGTTGGGCAGTGTCAGGACTGCTATATAACAAGATGCCAAGTACAGTGGCAGAGCTGCAGTATGTTTAACACACTGTCATGGTTGGGCAGTGTCAGGACTGCTGTACAACAAGATGTCAAGTACAGTGGCAGAGCTGCAGTAAGTTTAACTTATTATTAATAAGAATGATATGAGAATACATGTATTAATACTTTTGCTACGTAGCTGTACACATATTGCTTCTTTTAATATTGTCAAACGACCTGCGTATTTAAATTTATGTCATGAAGACTAGTAAAGCTGCAAATTTTAATACTCTTGCTACGTAGCTCTAGACCTTTTGTTTCTTTTAACACTGTCAAACAGATGTTCAAGATCTGTAAATTTAAACTTCTGTCATGAAGATTAGTAAAGATGCAAAAAATGTAATTTCTGTCAAGCTCAAGAGGTAGAACTACATTTTGTTACAAAAACTTGCATAACTTTGGATCTTTTAATAATTTTTGCCAAAATCCTTGAACAGTTCAATAAATACAGTGTTGAAGAACTACTAACTTGTTAATGATGTTAAGTAACAATAACATTTTAATAATCTGTCAAACTAAGCAAAAAGACTGAAGAATCATTGAACATAAGGTAGAGTAAATGTTATTAAAGCAGTTTTACTGGTTATAATTTCACATATTTTAACACCTTTTGACTGTGATAAAAAATATATCTTGTATTAAAAGAAGCTTTATTAACTTTTACTACATTATTAAAATGGATGATTAGGTGCAAAATATTTGATTTATTTATCAAATTATATAATGGGAATAAGTGCTCTACAGACCACACGAACAATAGCATTTGCATGCTTAAAAAAAAGGACATCTTTGCAACTTAGTTGAAAAAATTAATAACATAACTGTGCTATTTTATATTTTATAATTAAATGTATCATAGGTTTACAGTGTCAAGATTCACAAAGGACCATACAACAATTTTAGTGCTACTACTACTGAAAATGAAACTAGAATTGCACAGTTTTACTACAAGTAAACTTTATAATAATTATGTTTTTAATTTTTCACATGTACTAAAACTTGTATGTCACAAAAAACCAAACTTAAAATATATTTATCTAGCTATTTATCAACATTTAAGGTCTACTTTGGAATCCCCTGCTTTCAGCAGCCTTGCAAATTTCTGAAAAAATAGCCCAAACTATTAGAAATTTTACTGTTCAGATCTGGTGTTTATCATAAAAGATTTAACACTCACAAATGATACAGATCTTGTTTGTGATGACCAAAGCAGACCCTGCATTTTTAACAAACATCATGCCAAACCCACTTCTTCAATTCACTTTGGTGTACATGCTGTATTTGACCTAGGTCATTCTCAATCTCGGGAGGATTTTAATACAAAACACTCACATGCATGCAAAAAGAAAGGTTAAAACTGACTTCACTTTTGTTATCTACATCACACAGGGAGACTTATCTCAAACCACTTTTAAAGGCCTGCATACTCACACTGTCAACAGCTGTTCTAAGAGAAGGGGGAGTGTACGAGATAGTGGGCACAAAACGCATCTGAAGAGTAAAAACAGCAATGAGAAGATCTATTTTGAAATAACTTGGATAGAAATGATTCTGTTTAATTGGTAGACTAACAAATATGAAATGAAAATATACTCCAAATACTCCTTCTAAACACTGAACTCTGCAAACACATAAAGATGGTAAGGAATCTTTTTTGGTATACTTTATTTTCTCTCAAGAAAGTTTTTGGTCTTTTAAATTATAAGTTGAAAGATAAGTATAAGAATACAGATATTACGATAATTCAATGCAGGAAATACAAGCTGAGCACCAAATGAATTTGCTTTGAGAATTTTTCTTTTTTATGATATAGTGATTAACCTAAAACAAATTTACCAAGCTTTAGCTCCCCTGTTTCAGATTTAAAGCAGCAGCTAGCGATTACATAGAAAAAAATACTTTGAAATAAAATATTTCTATGATGGAAAGATAAAAGTATTTGAGCAGTGTATAAAAATAGTCTTTACAAAATATATGCCACAATGGACAAGACTTTGAAATTTAACTATATTTTTTAAAGTCATTTTTCCCATCTTCAAGCTCAAGAAAAAATAAATACATCCTGGACAAAAGTACAAAAAACTTTCTGGCTTCAACTAACACTAGCAACCATTATCCATGGTTAGCTTTGAAAGTAAAATCCTACAGTGTGATTACAACCTTCAAAGTGGATATTTGTAAACTATTTTGGCTTCTCTCCTACAAACTGTTCAATCTAGCTGTTAGTATACTTGATCTTTTTTTTTTCACTACTTTCTATTACAAGGATCTAATTGCATTACAATTCTTTCAAATTGAAAACATCTTAATATTTAAACAAGTCTGCTAGATTTTACCCAGATGTTTATAATATCAATCATTGAATTAATTTTACATTTCATTCTTGTGATGAAGTCACAGACTTGTATGTTAAACAATTCTGGAGCAACCCAATCTTGAGCTAAGATAAAGTATTAAACTGTTGTTAAAGCCCACAACTTCATATTTCAATATTACTGATAAGTTAATCGACACACACACTTCAAAATTTTAGTAATATTCTAATTAAATATCATAATGGTTTTCTATCAGAAATATTTCAACAGGCACATAATTTCTAACTTTAGTCAAAATGGCTCACTATAAGGATATTCTCTATAAGTTTTCATAGCATATTCTCAGATTTTGTAAATATTACTCCAGGACCTTTTTTTTCTTCATATTCTCAGACCTAGTAAAAACGTTACAAGACATTTTTTTTTAAAACCTATTATACTAAAATGCTTTATAATACCTCCACATATTCTTAGAATTAAAAACATTCTATCTTCTTTACATATTTTTAGATAAAAACTTTGTTTTATGAGATTTTTATTTTTGCATACTGTTACACCTAACAACAATCACGTTTTTATAATACCATTTCTACACATTTTAACCATTACAAACATTTTTTTTAAGACCATATTTTAATATTTTAGTCATAACAGCATGTTATGCAAGACCTTCACACAGTATTTGTCATAACAAGCATGTTTTTGTAAGACCATTACACATTTTTACCTCTTAAGAAAGAATTAATGAGAAATGTTTACACATCATTTGACCTACTAAAAAAAGATGCTTGTATAATTTCAAGATTTGTTCGATGAATTAGAGAGGTTCTGAAATTAATTTTACCTCATGCAGATACAGGGTCGATTTATGATTTAAACACCACATAACAATGTTTACCATTTTAAAAAATATCAGGATACTTTTGTGAACAGCTTACTGAAAAGGATGATGATAATACTTGAAAAAAAAAGGCAAGATGAAACATTGATAAATGGTAATGAAGAATATGATGTCCTATGAATAATAATAACATCTCCTTAGTTATGGTATTTTCATCACCCACATTTTGATGTAGTCTAACCTAATGTTAGATATACCCGAGACAGTAGGAATATACAAGATAATAAGACTGTAGCTGAAAGTACTGCTATCTTTCTTAAGTTTGAAAAGGAAGTTGAAATTTTAGACATTTTTTTCATCTTTAAAACACTTTTTTTTTGCACATTATTTTCTACTTCATGATCTTATAACTTTCCATTTCGAAAAATTTCTTTTACACATCACCGAATCATAAAACTGATTTAAGACCAATGTTTGTTTGTTTTCTATCTTCATTTTTAAACAGAGAAATTTTAAGAAGGCAATATCCAAATATGAAGCAAAAAAATTTATAAACAAATTCTTTGAAAGTTATCAGAATTATACACCCAGAACAAAAGTTACCTTTGCACATATATTCAGACTTGTCATATTTTACCAACTCTCCTTCAGACCTTTTGAAAATACTGCTTCCAGCTCAATAAAAGAAAATATTATAAACTCTTACTGTATTAGCAGTAAAGCTGGACAATTAACTCAATTAATCAATTACACTTAGAGTATCAATTACACTAATTAGTATCAAGTAAAACTGTCAATTAATTGAAATTATGGTTAAATCCATTAATGTAATAAGAATAATCAAGTAATTGAAATTAATGTTTTCAGTTATTATTGTTTTCTATTATTCCAGTTATTCAAGTATCAAAATATTGCCATTAGTTAGTGTCACAACTTATAACAATAATCAATTAACGTTTCCAATTATTACTATTTTTAAAGTCCCAAGAGAGACCAATGACTGATTGATTATCAAATCACTCTCTTTGCCCAACTTTAATTAGCAGTAACTAGAGGATGATTCAGACTATAAAATCAACACTGTTTGTACTACTTGAAAAGTTGGATCAATATAAAACAAAACTATGAGTGAACGTAACCACCTTAACCCTCTGGATACAGATGGGGGCAGGGAGCAGATGTCATGACCTTTTTACAGTTAGATATAAAACTTAAATGAAATACTTTTATTAGTAGTATATGTTAATCCACTTAGATAAAAATTTTACTGAACAGTTTTAATGCTAAGTGTTAATTTCTTAATTTAAAAACAAAATATGTAAATAAGTTATCAATCTTGACTTGTCTGTCATGTGATGCAAATGCAGTTAGAATTGCCCAATTTTTTCTACCCTTAAAACATCTTATGAGTGTCAAACTAAATTACAAACACATACTACAAATATTAGCAAGTCAGTATATACACTTATAGCCTTCAATCTTCTTGCTTTACTGAGATTAAAATTAAAATGTCAAACCTACATAATGTGCTCCTCCCATATCATTCTGTCATTAAAAAAAACACCATAATTTTTACAACCAATAGAAAGAACAGGTTTTTTCTTTACAAGATTCTTTACATAAGTTAATTCCTTTTGGTGCTCATAATTTAATATTTAGCCTTAGTTTAATCTTTTTGCTATTGTGATGTCCACATCAAGCAGCTAATGGAATTTTTTAACCTATTCATAGTTAATTAAAAAAGCCAGTACAGTTATAGTAGTTTCACTACATTCTATTTTAGTGCAGGATAATTTTTCATACTCTAAAATGCATATTTGAAATAAACATGAATAATTTTGTGAACAATCAACATCATCACAAAAACAGAGGATTAGAGTACCTAACACATCAATGGCAAAAGGCCCGAGTCAAGATGTAAGTAGTAAATTTGTTTTTTTTTATGTATATTTCTTATTATTATACAAGTAATTAAAATGTAAATATTGAAAACTTAGTTGCTTAGATAAGAAAACATAAATGAAAAAAATTAATTCCTTGTGATACTTGATATCTTAGCACAAGCATATCATTTGAAGTAGTTGTAACGTGCTTGTTTGTATACACAAAACTGTCCCACTGTGATACAGTTTTATTGCACTCTAAGGTGATCTAAGCACACCTTTAATCAAAGCAAATGTGAAAGGTTGTAGATAAATAATTGTCTGTTATGATATGAAGTCATTCTAGAAAGAAAAGAGCAATTCAGACTTATTTCATATATTCAACTTCATTTTACCCTAAATACCAGATTTTGAAAAGTGTTAGGGTAAAGAAAATAACAGATAAAATATATGATTTTACTGAGAGAAAAAAATATTGATATCCATTTAGGAAGTTCTACAGGTTATGCAAATTAAATATGAAAACTGTTCAGACAAAAAGAAGTATTTTTATTCTTAGCATGAAAATCACCTTACACTCAGACTGACTTAGTAATACCTTCAGAAATTCACAAGCAAATCTTTAGTATAAATACATTATTAAAAATTCTGATTTTTCTTTTTGTGTACAACAAATATGTAAGAATTACTGAAAGCTAGTTTACTGAAATTATAATATGTATGGTTTCATGGTCACGTGATCGTTACGAGGTCAGCCAAATTGGCTGAGACCAAATCTTGAGTTAAATGAGTCAACATATTTTTTCAGATGTGGTCTGTAGAATAACAGATCATCCACAGAGGTTAAATATTTTTCTGTTGCAAATTTCACATATTGAAAAATAGTATTTCAGTTTTTCTTCAAACCAAAACAAATATTAAGTGAACACAAAACAGTAAAAATCTTCATTACACAACTGTGACAAGAAATGTGTTTCAGTTTTGTTTTTAAATGGAACTACTTGCATTTAGTTTTCATGGATTACAATATATTTACCCTGAACTTTAGATATAGATTAATACATCTGTAGAGAACAATTCAAAAATAGTTGTTTAAAGCTTGAAACAAAGTAACAATTACCACACATAAATATACTTTACAAAATGCTAACATCAACTACCCAAACATAAAAAAAAATCTCTGATAACGAAACCATCACCATCAGTAAGAAACATATACTTTTCTGGTAAGACATTCCAAAGGACGTGTGGAAATTAAACCATTATACAACTATAAAAAAAACTACGAAAACTAAACCAACAATTAAGAAACATTACAGCACCGAGATAGAATGAATTAGTCATAACAAAGAGCTTCTCAAAATTGATCTTACATTTTCTTTTGCCTCTCGGTCCCATGGAGATGGACTCACTAAATTGTTTTCCTTTTTCACTTGCAGGAGCGGTTGCTGACTGTCTAAATTTGAAGCTTGTGTTTCAACTAATTTTCTGTTTATCAGATAAAAAAATGAGATCACTTAATTAGCTATCTCTGTCAAGACAAAGGTATTGGAGCTAATTTTTCTTTCAAATTTTAAACTGCTGATGACATCATGCTTGTATTACCAAAGCCTTTTTTCCTAAATTAACATCAAAGAAATAAAGCATTATCAGTGATAATTAGTAAAACAAAATTTAACATACATACACACACACACATAACAATCCATGCAATTTAAGTTTCAAATCTCATTGAAAGATAAACTGCCAAATTCTAGTTTGAAGATAGAAGTGTTTTAAGAGATTATTATTATTATTATCAACAACTTTTTCTCATCAAACCTCAAACAATAAAGTATAGCTTGAATGAATTTTTAAATGTCTAATATATCTAGAAAAGCAGACACTTAAAACATCAGAAAGAACATCTAAACCCCCTTTTTAACCAAGATTTAATTCTAGTCTATTTAATATTGCTTAAGCCTATGCAATTACATCCCAAAATGTGTAAATGTTCACAGAAGAAAAGTCTTCTATTAGTCTGGTGCAGACAACAACACAAATACTGAGGGAAAAGTTTCAACTGTGTTTCACTTTTGTTCTCAGACAATTTTATTCATTTGACAAAATGAAATTATAATCTAAAATATATTGATTCTTATTCAAAATTTCAAAAAATATATAAATTTTACATAGTAAATAAGCATGACTTATTTTTTGCATTTAATTCCAAATTAAGCCAGGACCAGACTAAAGAATATTTATTAACTCTACAGTTTGAGAAACAAGCAACCACAGGCAATGGGTAAATAATATACAAGATACTAAATAATGACAGTGAATTTTTATAATATCATAAGAATGAATGTTTTTGTCCAATAGTGAGTAAATACTTATGAAACAACAAGCAGCAAGAATATATTAATGAAAAATTACAAAATAATAGTTTAAATGAAATGACTAAAATTGGTGTTGAAATAGTGACACAGTTGAAAACATAAGCTTTTCAACAAGACACCAGGTTTTTAATTACTATTTTTAAATTTTCTTTGTAATCAGGAAGCCAAGGGCAACTATTTGCTCTCCTTCTTACTCTAATCTGGCCCTGGCTTAAGCCTATTCCATGCAATTACTGGGATGAAAAGAATTACAAACCAACAACCATTTATTTAATGCCTGTGTGCTGGACAGGGTTTTCAATAGTACCAGTGGTACCAGGTTGCCGGTACTCGAGCATCTCTAATCATGTGACTTGAGCAGTTAGAAATTCAACTATTCTTCCCAGTGTGTTCTCGTGGGAAATCTTTTTTTCACATCAAACTAAATTGTCAATTATCTGTAAGCTCACGTAGTATGATGACTATGGCAAAGAATGAGTTGAAACCTAGGCTTTCTACTGGTTATAAATTTAATGGGAGTCAGCCTCAGTAAAATCTATTAGAAAAGTGTAAATTAGAGCATGTCATAGGTAGGTGTGGAAAGTGGTTTCTGAATTTTTATTGATTGCTCTTTAGTCCCATTAGATTGAAGAATATAAAAATATAGCTTCAGAATATCGATGATGAAATTATAGAGAATATTTTAAGTTAGATTTCATAGTTTTCTAGGAGGTAGACAAAAAAATCCAGAAGAGGAGACGGCTCACGAACAAATTCTCACACTAGGGGAAGTTGAGATTGTTTTTAAATATTTCCTTATACAATTAAGAACTAAAAACTTAAATATCATTGAAATATGATTTATTATCTATGGTTTGATGTTAAGTATGTTTATATACCATGATAATTAAGTAGTTTAATTAAATTTTAAATGCAACTCATTAAAACGTCGTGACATGCACAGTTTGACTTGCCCGCATGCTAAGGGATAACCACGCGTGCACCTATCTAATGTGCAATCAGTCACGTAGGCACATTCATGTTCTCTTCCAGAGCATTGGAGTCACCAGTTTCCATATTTCATGCTATTGACAATTTTCATAGTGAGATTCGCTTATCAACTGAAGTATGAACTCAAAAACTACCTCATCAAACATTTATAATTCTGCGAAAAGCAAAGCTGAAATACCAGAGGAGGCATTTGGTTAAAATTCCGAAATTGGGACACGTGATAACAGATATTACTCTCAACATATGATACAATATAAACCAGGGTATTGCTGGTACTGACAGACCTGTAGTGGTACTGGATGCTGAGTACCACCAGTACTGACTGCAAACCTTATACTGGAAAGAAAAAAATATCAATTTTCACCAAGTCTGAAAACTATTTGCTTAGTTTTGTTTTCTATCACTAATGTGAAATACTCAGAACAATCACCAGTGTTTTTGAAGAGGAACTAGTGTCTTATACTTACTTGTGTTGTGCAGTCTGACCTCGAAGTATTCCTGCTTGTTTAGGTTCAGGCTGACTAGGTCTACCAGGTTGCACTTGGATCCGATTATTTGAAGTTTCTGCTGAGGGTGGAGGGTATCCTGCAGCACCGTATCGATAACTCACTTGAGGTGGAGGCTGTTGCCATGAGTGACCATTTAATGGTTGTCTCCCTGATGTTACAGATCTTTGTGGTTTATTTACTGGGAAACCTTGGTCTAATGAGTGTTGAGGTTTAGGAGCAGGTTGGGGTGGACCACGAGGAATAAAGTTATGGTGTCTGTTGATTGGCTGATTAACTGAATGTTGCCGTTGCCCTGGTCCTATCATATAACCTGGCCTATTATTCCACTGTACAGTATTCCTAGCCTGCTGCTGCATCAACTCTCTTTCTTCACGACGGCGCACTTCTTCTTGCATCTCTTCCATCTTTGCCTCCTGTCGAAGAAGGTCTCGTTGTCTAGAATCCATTGTATAAGACTGATTATGGGGTGGTGGCATTTGGGTATAGTTACCCTGATAATGTTCAGGATAAGCTGCTCCCTCTAGAGTGGTTGGACGAGGCTCACTTTGTGGGTGGAACTGATCATAGTGTCCATATTTCCTACAAGGAAACCTTAATTATGTTCTCATAACCAAATTCTGAACTTTCAATTATTAATGTTCATGCCAAAAAGGCAAATAACAACTGGCATTTTTATTCAAAGATTTGAAAATAGAAGACAAATTACTCAGTGAGTGATAAATGTAAAGGTTAAGACCAAAAACTAAAACCAATGTTTGAATACAAAAAATCTCATTTTCAATATCATAAGACCATGGTAAAAGTATGGGTGTGTACACATAAAACATTTACTTGAGCATCCCATTTAGATATCATTATGAAGTTCATTAGTTCAAGCTCACTAAGAAAATAGTAAACACATTAATCTTTTTTTTTTTAACATGAATCCGAGTCAAACTAAAAGAGGCCAATAGACTTTCAAAGTTAATGAAAAGCGTAACTCACCTTGAATCCTTCTGTTCATAAAAAGGGTCTGGAGGACCATTGCTATATTGTCGCCCAAGTGTTCGATGGGTTGAAGTTGATGGTGGAATCTGTTGAAAACCAACTGAATTGGCATACTGCTCCTGTTCCCTGGATGACACTAGTGTAGATAGTGGTCGATTACGGTCAACAGGCGACTGTGGAGCTGGTTGTGCTTGTTCTGAACGATGCAGGGATGAATAAGAGCCGTGATGAACTCGTGGTGGATGACCTTGTTGAGGGTAAAGGTTATTTGGAGGCTGAGGAGATGGTCTGGGAACACAAAAAAAAAAGGGTATGTAATATAGTTTTCTGAAAATTATAAATTTCAGTTGTATGTATTAATAACTAACACATTTTCAGAGAATGTAACTTAGAAGATGAAAATAATCAATTATACTTTGGAAGTTTCTAGATACAAAGACTCTTTAAAGAGCTAGATTTAGATATACTGGAGCAAAAATAAAACTCCAAGTTTTACAAAAAATCTATTATTATTATATGAAATAAAATCATACAATTAAAATGTTAATTTAAATCCCTACAAAACCTCAGGATTGACATTACGAGTTTTTCATTTAACCAATGTTTTATTAGCAGTATAATATAAATTAAAACAAATACACAATACATTCCCTAATGTGATAATCTTCACCTACTTATCCAATTATCCACATGTTAACATTATCGTCTCTTATATCCCATCATGCACAATTTCTGCTGGAAAATGTGATGATTTAAAAACAAATTTCTTCAGTGATTAACAAAGTGTGAATAAATAACACTGAATACAAAGGCATGGATGAATGGAATGCAGCACTAAAAATAATGTTTGTGTTGTCTGTACATGTTAATTATAGTATTTTTAATGAACACTAACCTTGCAGCAGGTATCTGGTTATTTTGATGTTGATACATGCTAATATTCTGATAGTGTCGTTCTTCTGGGACTGGTGGTCGCTGCTGCTCAAGAAGATTAGGTTGTGAAGTGGGACGATTAACGTGAGAATAAGGGGGTGGTCCACCTTGTCCAGGCACTGGGCCATTATATTGTCGACCATCATAATGGGCATCAGGTTGAAGGTTACTTGTTGACCTGGAACGAGTACTACCCTCTTGAGTTGACCCTAAAAACTCTGTAGCCTTTGGAATTGAGGTGGTGGACGATGTACGGCTGTACCCTGGGTTGTACACATCATGAGGTCGTAGGTTACCTGTTGGTGATGGCTGAAGTGGCTCAGAAGGTGGGTGACCAGCTGAAAATTGGATTATTAAATATATGTGCATAGATAAAACAATAAAAAATCAGCTAAAAGGGTTTGAAGAAGATGTGTGTGTATGTGTAAATATAATACACAGATATTTACATAAAGAAACACTTTTAAAATCTAAAGAAAAGAGGGAATAACAATAGCACTTCCTTATCTATGATATTTATTTACAAATTACAAACAATTAGTATAGGAACAAAAAGTGCCATGCATAAAGGATAGAAAAAACAATAATAATGTGAGATGGGTAAAAATACCCTGTTGATAAAGGTATCTAAAAAAAGGAAGGCCCACACAGCTATATTGCCAATATGCTGTCTATCAGCCTTAGATGTCCATATATGTTTGTGTATGTAGACATACATAAAATCTCTGTAACAGTGAACCCCAGGCATTAAGAGAAAAATAAAATGGAGGAAATATTCATGACTACTACAAAAATCAACATTTTAAAGAAAGAATGTGGCATACCTTTGCTACATCACAGAAAGATCTTCAGATAATCAAGTTAAAGAATCATTCAGACATTTATCTACTGGGATGTCCACATGACTTTTCATAGCCCTTGTATTCACTTTTAAAGCAGGAGAGCAATTAGTGATAACAGGTAACCAATATTACTTCTACCTCTGATGTTAAACTGGAGGACGATATACAAATGATACCAATCCAAATCTATGTTTAAGTTTTAATGAGCTTTTAAACTTGCCAGACAATATAATATAACAAAAGACAAAAAATAAACCCACTGCAATGACACAGTCTCCTATTCTCTAGGATATAAAACAAGCCTAATAACAGAAAGCTACATTCATTCAAATCCTAATATTGTTCAGTCAGTAACAATACTCCAATACTCCTTCTTAGCACTTTAAATTACAATAGGGAATCTTCAATAGCCACAGCACTTGAAATTCTTTTAAGCAGAATTAGACCTATTTTTCCTTTTTACTAGCTATATTTTTGTGTGCCAGCAATAATAATTGTGAGCCATGTGTATACCTGATTCCATTTTATCACTCATCAGGATCTCTACCAGCCTAACCTCAAACTGAAATTATTTTAGGCAGGATTAGAGTAAATTAGTCTATGAGACCTTGGGCATTGTTAAACACATCAATCAGAAGGGTTTGACCTCCTGAATCCAAAATGTTAATTAGATCTCAAACTGGTCAAGAAATGACAGAGCTATGAATAAAGTTTGTATTTGAAAAAAAAAACTCCGAGCCATTCTATGAGCCACTCAGCCATGGCTAATAATAATGTTTCCAGTAGGTTTTGTTGTTGAAATTTATAAACTTACTATAATCTTACATGAAATATTAAATATCTCATAAACTAGAAAACCTCTCTAGACAACTTAAGTAATTTTTCTAATTCGTAATAGAAAATTTCAATATCTACATTCTAAGACCTACTTTATCTCAAGAACAATATGAATTGAGAACTAACAGAGTTTAACAGGACAAAAATAAAAAAACCTCCAACACCAGTTGACAAACTATTAAGCTGTCAGGGTAATAGCCTGTCTTATGAGCTCACATAAACTTCCCTTGTTAGGCTTTTAGGGTTAGCATCTTGTACAGAAAACTCACATATGACTAACCTTTTAAGGTTAGCAATCTATGTTGTGTTTTGATATCACTTGTACAAAATTGTCTGATATTACCAAAACTCTACTAAACATGTTACATGAAATAATTTCTAATATTAGCTATACTAACTTGCTAAAGATGGCACACTCTTGCTGCCTTGAATACGAACAGGCATCATATGAGGAGCACCTGAGGGTATATTTCTATAGCGTTCAGGATCTCTGTCATGTTGAACTCGACTGGGAATGTCCCGTTCACTTAAATGTCTGGGACCTGGAAATGCCAACCCTAAAAATTTATCTTCAATTTATTTCAAAACAACAAAAAAAAAGACCAGTATGAAATGAAGATTTAAAATAATGTAAAATACAAGAAACATAATAAAACCTTAATAAAAGGTTTACAGAATAAACTGTAAAATCTTCTCTCTTTCAAAATAGTTTGGATATTTTCTTTTGAGTTAATTTTCTTATAGAACTTTAACTACACTTGTAACCTTTACATAAAATTTAAATACGACTGCCAACCCCAACTGAGCAAATTTAGCCACAACTAAAGCAAAACGTTGATGAGTTAAATGAGTAAACAAATCTATTTCTTTGTAATACAGATTACTGCATTTCTATACGAGGAGATGCATAGGAATGTGCAAGTAAATACACAGAAAAGAAAACTGGAGTCTCCACATAAAAGAATGCACTTATGTCCATCACTGTAAATTATACTTATATATCATTGGCATTAAAAAAATATGGTATTTAATGTCTTAAATATAACTGCTAATTAATTTGTTATATGGACTACTTTGATTTTTAGAAATTTTTAAACCTGGCAAATTTGATTTTTTTCAAACTACTCAATAACAAAAAATCATCTTAAAAAAGAATAGTGGTTTTCACCTCGTGGCATAACAGGAGAGGGCTGTGTTAGTAAAGCAGCAAGTCCGTGGAACACAACTGCCTGCTTGGCTACTTCTAGTGTGACAACTGGACCTGTACGGGTCATCAATTCTGCAGCCCTGAAAACAATATAAAGAAGAAAACAAAATTTCCGATGTTATACTAATTTATTTTCTAATAAATCTACATGAATAAATGGGGGAAAAAAGGTGAGTTGTTACATTTAATAAATTCTAAAACAATTTACATAAGTCAATGATTTGTTTTATATTTTATAACTGTACCTAAAAAAAAATAAAACTTGTGAAGAGAGCTTAAATAAAACAGATCATATTTTATTAAGACATGCTTAACATACCTGTCTACCTTCAATTAAAAATAAAAAAAACAAAGTGCGGGTATAAAGCAAAACAGAGAACAACATAAATTAATCATATCTGCTTAATATATCTAATTTACCAATAAAAGTAAAAATAAAATAATAAAAAGTAGAAAAAAAATTATTACAATATAGGTAATAAGCAAAACAAAAAACATTATATACATAGGGGTATTCATGACTTATGGTTGCAATATAAGAATGAGTACCTAGGCCTTACAGCTCTTTCTTAGATCATTGTTGGTCTATGATGGCCCTAAGTATGAACTACTGCTCACTGTTGAGACTATCAGGGATTTTAAATGGTCCTCTATTTATAGGTTCATAACATTTATTCTGTGCATGTTTCTTAATATCTGAAAATCTTAATTTAGCAAATTTCTGAAATATATAAAACTTATTTTATCTACTACTATCATCATTACAGAAAAGAAGTGTTAAATTTCATTGGAGGCTCAAAAGCAAAACAGACTCCAGATGTAAATATCAAACTTATTGTATTTGTTTTTTTATGCTTCTTATATATTGTTATAAAAGTAGCTAAAATGTAAAAATTAGCAATTTATTAGGTTAGATAAGAAAGTTAAATGAAGAAAAGTACTCATGACAGTATGCACACTTCATAAGCATGATTGTAAAAATCGACAAGAAGGCTGCTCATTTGATCGATTGTTTACAGAAAGCTGTCGTGCTGCGATAATAGCTTTTGAAAATGAGAAGCCAGATGTTAAATCATTTCTATCTAGATACCAGTATTACATTTGTTATTTGTAAATCATAATAAAAAAGAATTAAAAAAAACGTTTAATCAAAACAGAACACAAAAACTCACTTTTCTTGAGAAATTCCAACTAAAGACTGTCCATCTACTTTAAGTAACTGGTCACCAGCTTGAAGTCGCCCATCCTACATGTAGAATTAAGTTTTATTTTTCTTTTAACAACTTCATTTACATCTTATTTTCAGAGTATATTATATGACTTTATTTATCTTCAAAGCATGTACATTGAACATAGTCAATAAAAATAAAATTCAAGAGTTTAACACTTCCCTTAGAAAGTAACAATTTCATCAGAGAACAATATTAAAACATTATTAATACATTAACATATTTAAAAACAAATGCACAACAGTAAAAAAAAAATCAATAGCATTTTCAGAGTTATTTAATTTTTTTTTAACTTTCAGAAACAAAATCTGCCTTTTGGTTAATATGTAACAGTACTTAGAATTTAATTATAATTTCATTAATATTAAAATTTAAAAAGTATACTCCTTAATATATCCAAAACTAGTTCAGAAGTTTAAATTTTTTTTTTTACATATTTATGCTAATTCTGTGTAGCTTTCAAAAATTCTTGTTTTAACTTTAGAAATATATTTATAATTGTTTAAATTTTTTTCAAAAAGGAAAAACTGCATTTTTCACCATCGTACTAATCTTTAAAGAGCAATTCTGGCTAAATGCCACATTTATACTTGCCTACAAAAGTAATAAAAATAGGTCAGAAAACAGACTGAAAGCACCTTGACATACATGCTTGCCACAATCACTACTTCCAAACCTCAAAATGCTCACAAGCTATTAATATAAACTTGTATTTAAACAGTGCACATGTTTAATCAAGACTAAGCTTGTCTCACATCATTATTGCCACTCACACACACACACACACACAGTGTCAATATAATTTAGAAAAATATATTTGTTCTAATTACTAGACCAAATTTAATTTTTAACTGATCATAAGCAAACCTAAAATACAAAATCAGCTATACTTTACCGATTCATAATTTAAAATAACACCCAATGCTCACCTTATAAAATACATTAAAATACCCTCTGATATATTAGTTTAAGATAATAATCAACCCTCACACTTGATAAAGTTGTTGAAAATAACACCAAAATCTCCTCTGATGAAGTAGTTTAGAATAAAAAGACAAATCTTACCTGATAGAGAGTTTAATATCCAAAACTCACCTGATAAGAGTAGTTCAAAATAGTACCCAAATGCTTTCTGACGTAGTACTTTAAAATAATACCTAAATCTCACCTGATCAGCTGCTCCACCTTTTACAACAGACTTGATATATATCCCTAATTTTTCTTGTGTAGCTCCCTGAAATCAAGCACAAACGAAACGTTCATAAGAGGGCCTCAAAAACTCAAAAAATGTCTAAAATAAAAACAGCTTCTAGGAACAGTACATTTCTGAGAAATAAGTTTGGTTATCTGGACTGAAAGTGGAGGTAACTAAGAAACTTCTTCAGATAATCAGACTAATAGAATGTGAGAAAGAGATGAGGAAACAGTTGCAACTAAAGGTAAAAAAACAAACTATTCTATACAAAAGTTATATTAAACAGAAAACACCATGTAAGACACAGTAGTAGTCAAATACATCAAATCACACCCCTTTAGTGCCTGTTATTATGATATACACATTTTAAATCTTCTAAATGTAAATTTTCATATTACATCCTGTATGTATAAACGTTTTGGGAATAAGAAACTTGGCCCCCTAGTGAATAAAACATGAAACATACATGAAAAATAAAATACCAAGCAAAAATATTATAGCCAGATCAGCAACATCACAGCACTAGTTATTTTCCTATATTTTCAAAGAAAACAAACTATTTAACACACAATTAGGTATTAAGAGTTACTTATTTCCACACACACTGTGCTACTGTATATTAAAAGAAAAAAATACAAAGGTGTTATTTTTTGGAATAATGAAAGAAAACGTCCTTATCTGTTTTTAAGATTAGTTTCATTAACATAATTGGGAATTGTGAATACAGTGTTAGCTAAGCCTAGATTAAAAGCTTCAACCATTAAATGGGTAAGCTTATTTTTAAAATAAAGTCAGGAGACACAAGGAGGAGGATAAAGTAAGTAGTATATAAGGGAACACTTAAGACTGAACAAATTTCCAATAGGATATATTGCTTGGTTTATCATCTCTATTTAAACAAAAGGGTCTTTATTGTTAAATTATGCAAATACTTTCTCTCCAGTTCCTTTCTACGTTTTTTTTTTTGTTCATTTCTTTCACAATTTTCCAATTATACCATCACAGTTCCAGTGATGTTCAGCTAAAGCTGAGGTTAAGGTAATATCTTTCTTCTTTGTCCTATGTACATCTTACCACAACTACACCTAATTTGATAAATTCCATCTTTGTTTAAAATCTTTCTTAGATCTTTAAGTGCTTGTAAATGGTTAAAATATTTGAATTTGAAGTGACTTTATAACCCTTTAATTTTGCAATTTGTTTTCAGAAATGATAGGAACAAATGATATACTGATGAACTTACTCCGAGATGATTTTAATGGAGTTAATATAGAAAATCTCATTCATAGATATTTTTCGGTCACTTTTTTCGTTATTTATGTCTACGACATCAAAACATGCATTAATAGCACAGCAAACATATGTGCAAAATATGCCAAGTTTTTAACTTAAAGGATAAATGGAGTTATAAAGTATTGACATGTTGACAGCAAAAGACTTTCAAAATATGCTGAATTTTAACTCATTGTCATAGTTGTTTTAATGAGATCGTGTTTACTGAACTTCACAGTAGACTTTTAGTATAGTTATTAAAAATTCATTTTATTGAGTGATGACATCTCAGGCTTTCACAGATGACACTAGACATTTGGGGTAAACATTTTACTGTTTTGAATACAATTTAATATTATATTTGAACTGTATTTGCCGCTTCAAGACCAAAGCTGGGATTGACCCAGCATGGCCAGGTGGTTAGGGTGTTTGACTCGCAATCAGTGGGTTCGAATCCCTGTCCCATCAAACATGCTCGCTCTTTCAGCCATGGGGGCATTATAATGTGAAAATCAATCCCACTATTCATTGGTAAAAGAGTAGCTCAACAGTTGGTGTGGGTGGTGATGACTAGCTGCCTTCCCTCTAGTCTTACACTGCTAAATTAGGGACGGCTAGCGCAGATAGCCCTCGTGTAGCTTTGCGCGAAATTCAAAAACAAACCAAAGCTGGTACATGTAAAAAAACTGCTACTAGCTCGTTAAGTGTCCTGGGAATTGAAACGATTGAAACAATGGTTTTTTTTAAACATCATTTGAAACTATCATTATCAGCAAAAGCACGCTGTGTCAACTGAAAATACTTTAATGTTTACCCTACAAGAAAACAAATAACTAAACAAAAATAACACGTGAGAAAATGCCACGTCTTTCTACCAACTGACCCTGTGATTAAATTACACAATGATGAATTCTTTGGTTGTCTGATCGCACGTAACCAAGTCCACCGCGCAAAACGCACTTCGGTCATCATCCGCTATAATGCTACATCACGTTTGGTAGGTGCACGGCGCCACCTTGTAGCAGCAATGTTAAGCTAAGAATCGCAAGAGAGACGGTTCATGGTCACATTTATACGGCACGTACTTCGTGCTAACCCGTTCTTACGCAGACTTTAAAATTAAAAGTAAAAACAAAAATCTGGTATTTCGCTCATTCTGAAGATAGGTAGACAAGTTTTCCTTGCCACAATGATAAAATATTTTATCCTAATTATACGCACAAGGACAACAATCAAGTTGTATCCAATCATGCTTGAAATCACACAAGTTTATAATACACGCATCAAATGATAATCATCCCAGCTAAAACACCCTGGTGGAAAAAAAGGAAGAGAAAAAATATTTTGACTTCGTTTTCGGGCGTTTCCCAAGTTTAAAATCGATAACACGCCTACCTGAATTATCTGTTCTCTATCTAAATACATGTTTAACAAAATACAAAAGAGAAACTTAAAGAGGAACACGTGTTATGAATAATTTGGTAATTATCAGAAGAATAAGAAATAGCTTCACTCTACAAATTCAAAAACATGCCACGTGATTTCATTATCTACTTCCTTGAATGACTGTGGTTATTAAATCCAGGTTAAGTAGTTAGCACACAGGATCACCTACAAAAGTTGTAATATTTTCAAAACGAGACCCAAAACTCGAGCGCTTTCGAATAGTTGACTATTCTTCTTCGGGTTATTAAAAATACTAATGGAATACGGTTCGTAAAGCAATGGTCAGCCATGTTGCTCCTCGTTAACCTTAGTTTCTACAGTACGAGTGTCATTCTGAAGTCAGATGTGACGTTCAGGTTTACTTTGTAGATCATCAATATTCACAAATAACAGATAATAACCACCACCCTATCTGGACAGATGATAATCTCTGCCATCATTCTATCTGGGTTGGTAAGATCATGATGTTGCTATAATTACTAAACTCAACTGACCAAAGCAGGGGTCAGCTGTGGCCAACCTTTTGAAACACAAGAGCACGGGTTAGTCTTGAATAATTACAAATACATGGTTTAGATTTGGGACCAAAATGTTTAGAGAGGGGTAAAATATAAATAAACAACGTTAGTTTGTTATTGTTAAGCACAAACTACACAATGGGCTATCGGGGCTCTGTTCACAACGGGAAGGAGGGGGGCAACAACGTTAGACTTCATTATCTTGAATTTTGCTTTTGCTACCTTTTCATCGTGATGGTGTCCCCACAGATTTAGACAACCTCATGATTATATACCAAATGTATTCCCCACTGAGGAAGATATAGTATATAACTGGCGAACCAATGGACTGATTGTCACCAAATCCCTAGCGCTCCCCTTAACGAGGTGGCATTCGAGGGCCACCGTTTTTGTCTGAAACCCTATACCGCATCCGGGTGAGGGTGGGGTCTCTATGTCTTCCTTGTGCATTGAACGGGTACGTCACTAGTAAATAAACGAGAGAAAAAAAAAGAAAGTCTTACCCACCCAGAAATGAAGAGATATTCAAAGACGCACAACGATATTTTATATGGGCCGGGTCGGGATCTGGTGATTAGCGTTCCGGAATGCAAATCCAATGGTTTATGGTTCGTGTCCAGTTGCTAAAAATCTTGCTCAGCACTTTGAAGTTGTTGATACGCAATACGAATGGGTGTTTTTGAGTCTGTAGTCTATCAGTTCACAAAATTAGAAACGTCTGTGAGCATTAAGCTCTTCGTGAAGAATTGTGCAAGAATAATAATAATATTACATTGGATTTCTTTTCTTCTTATTATTACTTTATGGTTGTTTCTCCTTTTTTTCAAATTCGTTAAACATCTCGACTTCTCAAAAGTTATTACAGTAGTAAAAAAGAAAAATTCTTAGAATTTTTCGTGTCGAAAAGTAATGGCGGTACCATTTCATAAAATAAAACTAATTAAATAACTCCCACGAGGCGTCTCGTTCGCACTTCTGAGTGGGTGACTTGTTACTCTCAGCAGTATGATTTTAACATCGCCCCCGGTCCTTCTGCAATAATTCAAAGCAGCAGTGGAACACAGTACTACTTCACTGACACAGTGATTTAAATATTTACCGAAAGGGTCAGTAATATATTATGACAATAGGAGGTCACTCAAATCTGGCAACTTGAGTATTGTTACAACGGAAAAACTAGTTTATCAAAACTATATATTATACACACGTAGTTCGTTAATTTTATTCCGCACGGCTTGTATTACTAACATTTTTACCGCTTTCAAGATTCATTATTTGAATGTGTATAAGCATTACTTTCGTATTACAAGGTGTAGCTTTTACTGATTGAGTTCCTGTCGATAACTCTCATTCGAAACTTTCAAATAAGGCTTATAATCTCGTTCGTCTTAGCTCATTTTATATATCATTAAAAATGGGCGTTAGTGTAACAGTAAGCCCCTCCCTATTTACATTTAAACTGTCTGGCCACAACCAAGCATAATACTAAATAACATGCCGTCGTGATAAAGAATATATATTCAAAAGCTTCCCTTTTCTGGAAAGACGTTTAACATATTCCGCTGGATTGCTTCTGCTACAACTGTACAGCTTAAAACACAGATTAAACACTTAGCCATACACGTATCTGTTAATCTAGGCATACAAGATTGATAGAGGGGAACACTCCTACGTTCGTGTTGTTGTCCTTGTGGTATGTCGATAACCACACCCACCTTATTCTTTAGCAAATAACAAACAAGAGTAACGAGAATTATTATGAGTAACAAGTTTTGTCGACAGATGGCGACATCTTAAATGTTT